ATGGATGGATGGATGGATGGAGGATGGATGGATGGATGGATGGATGGATGGATGGATGGATGGATGGATGGCACCGTGCCACCCAGGCGAAATGAAGCTGTTTTAACCATTAAATAAATGCATAATAAATGCGATGGGTCAGCGTTGATGCATAATAAATGCGACTTATACGCCAAAGTGACATATAAATGTTTTTTTCCTCTTCATAATGCTTTTTTTGACTGATGCGACTTATACTCCAGAGCGAATTATATGCCGGAATATACGGTATCAAGCATGAAACAAAACTTTTAGGTTTTTGATTTGAGAAAAAACCCAAACATGTATATAAAGACTTCACTGAATGATTCGGTGATGCTTTATGTTAGAGCATTACAAATGCAAATCTAGATATGAAGCATAAAACTGCCCTGCAGTATAGGTGTTGTCTTACTAACATGTTTGACTAAAAGTCAAAGTAACTATGTTTGACAAAACTAAAAGCCCAGCTACATGAGCGCCCAGCTCTGTCAAAGGAAATGTTATTCATTGGCAGGAAGCTGCTGAGAGACAGCAGGAAGTTTGTCAAAGTAAAATATAAAAATATAAATTATTTTAAAAATACACAAATTAGACGCTCTAGTATAAGCTGTGTAGTCTTAAGTATGAGAAAAAAGTAGTAGTTTGTACACCGGAAATTACGGTAATTGGCTATGTGAATGTTTCTGTTCAGTGCCCTGAGACAAGAACCGTTGTGATTTGGCGCTATATAAATAAACGGAATTGAAATTGGATTGGTCATAATGAATAAAATCTCATTCAGGGAACGCTAAACGCAGCATCTCAACACACACTGTGGAGCACAGTGATGGAGGAGTGATGGTTTGGGCTTGTTGCAGCCACTGAGTCAGCCCTGAACTAATCCATATCTTAAAGCTTTCTGTTGGTGACTTTTAGTTAACAGAGGGACAATGATATAAGCATAAACTGCTAAAAAAAAGACAAATCAAGACATTTCAATGACCCAAAGTCCAGACATCAACGTTCCAGAAGTGCTGTAGAGCTGCACATAAACGAATGTCTAGACCTCACTGAAATGAAGCAACGTGATAAACAACACCGTTATACTTTTCAATGTTACTTTATTTTAAAATAGTAGCTCTTTTTAATTCATTCAAAAACATTTTCTTTGAAATTTGCTTCAGCACACTAGCTCAGTTTTTGTTTGTCTTACGGTGGCCCTGAGGTCACGTGTAAATGAACATTTGAAAAAACTGAATTACATTAAGTCAAAGCGGACGTGGTCAGCCTCTTCGCTTTGGCCACTTCTGCTTTGGGCCAATATAATTCCATTTTTTCAAATGTAGTTCTGTTTTTTTCAAATGTTCATTTACACCATATTGTCTGCTACATTCAGCTACAATTCATTCATCATTTTTGCAGACGATGCAATGTCTCTAGATGTTATTAGGTTTTAGAGCATAAAACCTTCTAACTGAACATTAAAAGTACGTTTTTCTCTCGTTGACTAAGTGCAGATGCAAACAGCAGAAACATTCCTTTCATTTTCTGTCTTCCTCCGGAGACACCCCACAAAAACTGAAAGAATCTTCTGTTTAGATGCTGCCAAATGTGGGAACATCGTGGTCTGCGATCGGCACTGATTCTATAAATACTTGATATAAAGGAGCGTTATGATGAAAAATATGGATGTCAGTAGATCAGACCCTCGGTCGGGATCAGGAAAGTGACCTTAGCACTGCACCTCACAAGACCAGAGGAGGTATCGATGAGTACAGTATATTTCTAAATACACTCATCCGTTTTATGATTTGGATTTTATCCTAGTTCTCCTGTTGGTTCAAGTTTCTAAATATTTGCGAAAAAGGAAATTATATTATAACTGATCTGCATATAAAAATAGTTAAACTCCACTTTATTATAAAAAAATCTAATAAAAGGTCACTAGAAAAGATTACTCCTATGAGCTCAAGGTGCCCATTCTGAGGGGAATACCAAAAGAAAAGCATAATGTAATCAATCTGTAGCTTTCTAAGGTTCATGTCAGACATTGATGAAACTCATGAGGGTAATAAAAATGTTCCAAGCAAAGAACAAATCTTTTCAGGAGGAATAAAAGTGACAAGAAACAGGTGGAAGCAGCTGGTTGAACAAAGGCCACCAGTCAAATGTGACAATTTGAATGCAGCCAAAACTCCCTGCTATAAAACCATCCCCACAGAAATGAAATATGACACTGTGATAAGTTGATGCTATTACAGGCAATTAATTTTATTGTAAGTAATAAGTTTGACCCTGAACGCTCCCCAGCAGGAAAAGCAAATCAGTGTGTTGACAGGATTGAAGGAAATGGCACTCACTCCTGGTCGTGTCTGAATGGACCTTAAATAAGAAAAATAATCAAACGGGTCAAAACCTGTTAAACCTTTTCATCTTCCCTACATTTTATTTTCCCTAACGCCCCCCACCCCCCCATTCTCCATCTCTCGTCCACATGCCATCCTCCTAATCCCTTCGTCTGAAGTGCAACAGACCCCAGTGGCTCCGGGCACAAAACAGGCAGCGAAGTAAATTAAGAGCGGAGAAAGGACTCGAGATCAGAGAGGGAATGAAAAGGAAGAGACTCTCAAGCTGCACACTCAGGCCAAGACACAGAAATGAGGGAATCTGAGTGCAAAGTTTCATTAATAGGAAAGGACATTTTTTAATTTAAACCAGTTTTTATTTAGACAAAAGACGCAAGTGCTACAATTAAAAGAATAGAGAACACAAGCTGTTTTTGACACTTTAAAATCCACACCTAACATACATATATATCTACGTCATAAACTGAGGGATTTTCAGTGATGACATAATGACAGCCGTTTACCGTTTTCATGTTTATCTCCAGTGATAATTTTCACAACCAGAATAAAACAAACTCATATTTATTGATCTTTAATAAAACAAAGATAACAGTCACTCTAGAACTGGCAGCAATTTAGATAATAAAGCAAATACTTCCCCATTGTATCCGTCGTTAGCCAAACTTTTCTTTAAGTTTACTGTCTGTATTAGTACGAATGAGGATTAGGGCCACGAAGCAATACTTATTTTTTTCATTAATTCTAAGAAAAATAGTCAGAATTCTGAGATTAGTGAGAATTCTGAGAATAAAATCAGAATTATGAGGAAAAAAAATCAGAATTACATAAATTGATTCTGAATTTAATCTCAAAACTCTGAGAAAAAAATCAGAATTACACAGATGGATTAAAGTCAGAATTCTGCGGAAAAAATTTCAGAAATACATAGATGGATTCTGACTTTAATCTCAGAATTCTGAGAAAAGTCAGAGTTCTGAGATTGAAGTAATAATTCTGAGACTAAAGTCATAATTCTGATTTTAAAAAGTCATAATTCTGAGATTAAAGTCATACTTCTGAGAACAAAGTCAAAATTCTGAGATTAAAGTCATAATTCTGAGAAAAAAATCAGAAATACATAGATGGATTCTGACTTTAATCTCAGAATTCTGAGATTAAAGTCAGAATTGGGGCCGAGATGGGATAGAGGTAGGGCAGCCGACTCGGAACCTTAAAGTCCCAGGTTCGATCCTCAGCCATTCCCACATGTCGTGGTGTCTCTGAGCAAGACACCCAATCCCTAACTGCTCCCTGGGCAGCTTGCATAGCTGCCCACTGCTCCACCTGGGTGTATCCAATGTGTGATGGGTTAAATGCAGAGAACTAATTTCGCCATTGTATGGGAACATACAATGATGACAAATTGAGAATAAAGTTAGAATTATGAGATTAAAATCAGAATTATGAGAAAATATCAGAAATATAGATGGCTTCTGAGCTTAAAGTCAGAAATCCGAGAATAATAATAACCTTTATTTAACTAGGTTTGTTCCATTGAGATCAAAAGATCTATTTTACAAGAGACATGGCCAAGACTGGCAGCGTACAGATTACAGTTACAACAAATAGTCACAATAAACATAGACTTACAATAAAACAAATGACTCAATTGCATTTCTGCAACTTGGAACATAATGGGATCTATCATGGTATTAAATACATTCAGTGATTCTAGTGTTCTAAGTTTAAGCTTTGGTTGCAAACTGTTCCATGAGGTTGGAACAGTCAGAATTCTGAGAATAAAGTCAGAATTCTGAGAATAAAGTCAGAATTCTGAGATTAAAGTCAGAATTCTGAGATTAAAGTCAGGATTACATAGATGGATTCTAACTTGAATCTCAGAATTTTGACTTTATTCTCAGAAATGAGAAAAAAAAATTGCAGCATGGCCCTAATCCTCTTCTGTACAATAGCCTTAGCTGTCGCTGTAAGTAATCGTCACCTTTTACCTGACTTTGGCTCGATCTTATAAAAGTCAGCCACTGGCAGTCAGCGCAGCGTGATTACTCACTCCATGCTCTGCTGAGCTGAGCTCCAACAGGCTGCAGCACAGGAACTGAAAAACCCAAACAAGTCCTGAGAAGGGGGACGTTTCTCCTTTATTAATGTTCAAATGTTGAGCAGAAAGCCACCATCCAGCCCAGCTGTGACGAACAACCCTTCAGGAAAAAAAGCTAAAAAAAATAAAAAATAAAATGGATCTATTGCTAATCCTACAATTCAACTCCAGGGGAACAATTTAATTGATTTTTTTTTTTTTTTTTAGCTCTGTGGCAAAACATTTAAATACCTGAAGTCATTTAATTTCCAAAATGTAAAAAAGCAAAGACATAAATCAACAATAAATGGTTTATTGCTTATTTGAAGTGAAGTGGCTAATCTTAAAAACACCTATGGCTTCTCCTTCACGAGGACCTGAAGTGATGGCGCTCACTCGTCGTGTTTCCACACCGTGTGTTTTTCAGGGCACGACAGTGTAAGGCTGGTAGGGCAGCAGTTTCTGTCGTTCATTGATCGCATAAATCCAGGCTGGTTTCACAAAGTTCAGATTGCCGTTCTCCATCAGCGCCTGCGGTTAAAGCGACATTAAGGGTCAGACGTGAAAATGTGTAAAATTCCTCAAATTACACTAAAAGAAAAAACGTTAAGTGAGATAATAGGAAGTGTAACTCTAATGAACGGTTTCATCCCGATGTAAAAAGCAGCAGTCGTTAACAGTTCACAACTTTCACTATTTCTTTAACCTTGACAAATGATAGTAAGTGCATTTCAAGGGATTTATACTTTGTGAAACTGAGAAATAGTTTAAATTCTCCTCATCTGAAAGTGACAGACAAAAACAGCATTCACATTTAGTCAGTTTAAGAGTTAAGCTCATGATGGACATGTACTTTGGCTAGCTGTCATCAAACACGTCAATGGAAGACAAAAAGGAGAACTCACATCTTCAAAGGACTCGTGCCACCCTTCACTGGTCACAACAAACTGCACTTTATCTGACATGTAGTCCTCGATCACTCTGAAGCGATAAAGTAGAACGTTGGAACTGAATCCACCTTTTGTCTAAAATGGTTAACTATTAAAAAGTTCAAGTTACAGTAGTCCCTCGTTACTTCGCGGTTCGACTTTCGCGGACTCGCTCTTTCAACGATCGTAAACTTTAATATTGCTCACGTGATTGGGAAGGCACGGGAAAAAAGTTAACAAAAAAAAAAAAAAAAAACCTTCGGACTGGTGCCGCCATTTTGTAGTTTTCTATCAATAAGCTTACACTGTAACGCCAGTTAAAAGAACTACACTACCTGATGGGGAAAGATTATGCAAAGGTCACGGATGCTTTCACTTACTAATGTTAAATTGATATGGAACCACGTATGAGAAGTCCGGAGAGCCTTTCTGTTTACTCAGAGAGGAGTCTGATAACTGATGAACTCTGACGCCTTCAACAACTGTGACCTATGAAGCAGAGGTCATGTCTTGACCTCGTCTCTGTCCGATAACACTATTTAAGCTTTTGCGAACTCCTTCTCCATGGGCAGACCTTGGAGACAAAGTGACATGCAACATCTTGTATGCCTGTTTTCAATGTTGCACCCCTAGCAAGGATTAAACCTGAGTTGAAAAATATTTTTGGATCCTCTCGGTGTAGCTTATTTGATTAATGAGTTAACGATAGGATAATTAAATTAACCAACACTACCCAGAAGCCAACAGTGCTTCCGGCTGCTACTTTCTGCTGAAATGGAGGGAAAGTTTTGCAAGACAAATCTACGTTATCCATTAAGCTCAGAGAACTGGCAGGAAAGTCGCAAATAATCCTGAAGCTCAATTATCTATGCGCACATCAACCTGGATGGGGCAGAGGGCTTCATGGCTGCAGGGTAGGTCTGCTGAACTGGAACTGAGCTGCTGGTCTGCAGAGCTGGTGAGTAAAATTTTGTAGTACTGTACAGTACATGTATGTTGTAAAAATGACGTAAGTTTAAGAGTTTAGAACATTGCAAGAATGTGGGAAGGATTTTCATAAAGACTTAAAATATATTGATACTAAATAAATATAGCGTTCCTACTTGGTGGTTTTTCACCTACTGTGGGGGGTGTTTAGAACGTAACCCCCGCGATAATCGAGGGACTACTGTACTTTAGGAACAGAGAAGTGTCTCTCACCCATTAAAGGCGACGATGTACCGCAGCACCAGCCGCCTCTCATTGTTGGGAAATGTACCGTAGAGGAAAAAGTGCTTTCCACTGAGGAAATCTGGAGGAAAACACAAACGTAAGGAAGTGAAGAAAGGAGACAGGCACCACGACACACAGGAGAACAAATGAACGGTGGCTTCTGACAACAAGACGAAGCATAAAAAACAACCCAGTTCAGTTTGTTTTTGTGTTTTCCTTCACTTTTTGTCAGCGGTTGAAATCACTGAGGCAGAAGGACGAGTCCGTTCCTGACAGTGGGACATAAACAACAGACAGGAAGCCAGTGAGATAAGAGCAGAGACAGACGTGCCTGGAAGCTCAGGGACGGGATGATCCTCTTCAGCTTCAGCGTCTGTGTTTTCATCCGTCGACCCTCCGTATGGATCCTCATCTTTCATCGACGTGTCTTCTTCTGCTGATTTCCTCTGCCTGGTGTGCTCCATCCTTTTCACAACAAGAGGATATTTTACTACAATTTCACATGCTCATCCCAAAACACCTGTTCTAAAATCAGACATTTTGACACATCTAACTTAACAATTTGACAAGAGAAAAAATAAATTATACAATACAGAACCCCATGATCATAAGGTGGACGGCAGAATGTGGTCTGGCATTATCGCATTGAAATATGCAGAGTCTTCCCTGAAAGAGATGATGTCTAGATGGGAGCATATGTTGTTCTAGAACCTGAACATAGTTCTCTGCATTAATGGTGCCTTTCCAGACATGCAAGCTGCCCATGCCACAAGCGCTCATGCAACCCCATACCATCAGTAATGCAGGCTTCTGAACGGAGCGTTGATAACAACTTGGGCTATCCTTGTTCTCTTTGGTCCGGATGACATGGCGTCCCAGTGTTCCATAAAGAACTTCAAATTGTGACTCATCTGACCACAGAACAGTCTTCCATTTTGCCACACTCTATTTTAAATGACCCCTGGCCCAGTGCAAACGTCTGAGCTTGTTGAGCTTGCTTAGAAATGGCTTCATCTTTGCACTGTAGAGTTTCAGCTGGCAACGGCGGATGGCACGGTGGATTGTGTTCACTGATGATGCTTTCTGGAAGTATTCCTGAACCCATTCTGTTATTTCCTCGACAGTGGCATTCCTGTTTGAGGTGCAGTGACGTTTAAGGGCCCGGAGATCACGAGCATCCAGTGGAGTTTTACGGCCTTGACCCTTACGCACGGCGATTGTTACAGATTCTCTGAATCTTTTGATGATGTTATGCACGGTTGATGATGATAACTTAAAAAGTCTTTGCTATTTTACGCTGGGTAACACCATTCTGGTGTTGCTGCACTATCTTTGGTATGGTATAAAGTTTATTCATTTTAAAAAGTACAAAACAATTCCATAACAATATAAAAACATACAAGAGATTTAAAATGAAAGGCAGCAAAAAGAAGAAAAAATCTTATTATATCTGCACCTTTTTTCAAACAATTAGTTCTATCATAATAATCTTCAAGTAACAGAACAAAATGAATAACTCTAATTTTTCTAATTCTAATACATCTTTCTGCGCAACAATGGTGGAATTGGTGATCCTCTTACCACCTTGGCTTCTGAGAGACACTGTCACTCTGAGAAGCTCTTTTTATACCCAATCATGTTGTCAATTGACCTAATTAGTGTTAATTGGTCTTCCAGCTGTTCATTATATGCTCAATTTCCTTTTTCCAGCCACTTATTGCTACTTGTCCCAACTTTTTGGGGATTTGTTGACATTGTGAAATTTTGAATCAACATATTTTTCCTTTAAAATGTTACATTTACTCAGATTAAACTTCTGATCTGTCATCTATGTTATATTATGAATAAAATATTGACATTTGCCATCTCCACATCATTGCATTCAGTTTTTATTCACAATTTGTTTAGTGTCCCAACTGCCCACCAAAATCATTGTGTAATAACGTAATAAATGTTTAACTCAAGCGAAATGGATATAAATAATATTTGGATGCGACACTCAGCCCACAATTACATATCTGACAAGCATGAGCCGTGTCTTTTTTTCTTCCGTGTACCTCTGCAGCTCATCTTCCGTGTCTAATCCAGACTCATCCTTATCATCATCGTCACCACCTGTGAAAAATAAGTGGATTTCATCATTTAGTGGATTAATGTGGTTACATTTTTCTCAAAACAGGCAGGTCTGATTTATTAAGATGGTGGCAAAGGTCCTGGCAGAGCATCATGTTGGTACGTTCAACATTTTTTACAATTTAACACGAGTTCACAGGCAACCCTAAACATCAATGACTGCGCTGTGGCCCCAAGCTTCAAACTAATTAACTACAATAATGTCTGAGAGGTAAATCTGCTTTAAATTCCCTGGCCATCTGGGGGCGTCGAGTTTAACATCTAATTAAAATGTCAGGTGAGCCCACATTCCCATGAAATATACATCATCAGGTGTAACCTTGCTGGCAACACGATGATTACCATAAAACACTGTGATGCTGAGGGGAAAAAGGGAAAAAGAAGAAGCATCTCTCTTTAAAATGCTGTCTCCATGTATGTATTGTCAGTGTGGGTTTCGTCTTAATGATGCATCGAAGCACTTTACTTCTGGCCTCACATTAACATAGAAATGAGAATCATGCACAAGTCCCTTCGCACTGATTTGGACTCCATTCCTGCTCCTCCCTCAAACTGCACCTATAGTTCTTGGGCACTTTAGTCCTTTCTACGGAGGCGCTGCCAACCATCCATTTCCAAGTGCTTCATAAAGGTTAGTCCTTTTGTCTAATCCCTGAGCCTTCATATCGTCTCCAAGCTCCTCTTAATTCATTCGGACCTCTTCAGCTCCAGCGCTGCCTCCTCAGTCTCCAGTTATTTGAGCTAATAGAATCAAGCATGTCATATGAGTCACGGCTAATTTATATCGGCTCTTAAATTTGTTTAATTGCACATGCACAGATAATATTCTTGTTTATTCGTTAGGGGAATTGCTGTTTCATTTCAGCTTTAATCATTAGTTACGCCACAATGATCTAAAAGGTGTGTCAGCACTTCATTTCTGTGATTGTTGAAACGCACACGTGTTTTAGCATCACTGCACGGGAGCTGACTGGAACTTCCACTGGAAATGATAAATGGGTCGGTAATTTTTTGTACATAAAAAAAAAAGAAAAGCAACTTTATGACGGGAAGAAAATGAGCTAGTGCAACAACAAGATAAATAAAATAAGAAAAAAGCAAGATAAAGCCATGTTTGCATCCATGTAGCTGTTTTGTTGAACAGCTGCACACCATTTTAGTCAGCTGTTATTCTCCATACTGCAGCTAAATGGAGTAACTACTATATGTTTTTGTCTTTTTTTGCAGTTGATACACTTATTGATCAGTTTATTGGTGTTTAAATATTACTGGTTGAAATGACAAAAGGAGATTTGTTTACAAAACCAATTAGACTTTCTATTCTTTAATTTTTATACAAAATCCTCAGGATAATGTTTCTCGATCTAGAATTAAAATAAAATTAAATTGAATTGGACAAAATAAAATCAATGCCAAACAAGATAAAACTCTTGTGCCTCAAAATAACTGTATACAAATATTTGTAGTAAAATGTACTAATATTGAACTTGCACATTTTATGTTCAATTATTGACAAAAATATTTTATGAGTGCTGTTTGTATTTTTAAACATGTAATAATTTGTTACCTTAAACCCAACATTAAAGTTATTTTTCAAACAATTTAAAAACAGTGTACTTTTTTTTTGGTTTGTTTGTTTCTCTGGACTCTTAGTGTTTCTGCCTCCTAAAATTTATCTATAAATTTTCAGTTTCCACTAATTCACTAATTAACACTTTCCCTATCAGTTACCACAGCCATTCACTTTGTCATGTGAGCTTTAGCTATAAACAACTGAAAATTACCGTAATGTCCGAACTATAAGCTGCTACTTTTTTCACAGGCTTTGAATGCTGCAGCTTATACAATGCTGCAGCTAATTTATTTAATTATTTTATTTTTTGGACGGGCTAAGGAGCTTGATGCCGCCAAAACATTTAGCCTCATCACACCCGGGTGCTCACATAGTTGCCCAATACATATCTCTTTTGGGGGGTAGATCCTCGTGACAAAGAGATTACCTGTGTAAATAAAAGTAAAAAGAAATCGAACCAGTGAAATTATCGAACAGGTCCCCCTGTGTTCTCTCCTCCCCATTGTGCTCCCAGGGATGGGGTGGAGTGCACAGGAGGAAGATGAAGACAGCGATCAATTACTTCCTGTTGGCTACTGTATTTTTATTTTTGTACCAGCCATGTTAGAGGCACTGTTCAGAAAAAGAAAAAACATTTACCGTACATATGCATGTTACCTGTACGCACTGTAGCGTTCTGCTGCGTTTGACTGTTGGTCACATGGTGTCAGGGAGGGATTATGGGTAGAATTCATGTTCATTGTTAATCATTTCGGTTAGCTGTTTTGCATTGTTCTTTTAGTCATTAGCCTGTTCGTGTTAGCCTAGTTTATGTGTTAAGTTTGTGTTAGGCCATTCAGTAGAGTAACCATGAGTGAGGGAGGTAGTTGTAACGAAGACCTGTGGAGTTCACTCTGTCTGCGTGTGCTGAACAGTAAAAGTCTATAAAACGCCATCTGGTGGTTGATTCTTGATCTACAACAAGCGGCACATCTCTCTCAGTAGCTGTGTGCTGCCATGCTATAGTTTAAATATCTCATGATACAACATGGACACCAGCGGCGGTCAATGTGTACAATATTTTTTTTTCTTTAAAATTTAGTGGCCACAGCTTATATTCAGGTGCACTTAATAGTCTGTAAATTACGGTACTTTTGAGGTCACCTCTTGTAGTTATTTCACAAAAAATAGGGTTAATTGTGAATACGAACAACTGTTCCTGTGGTTTAAAAGAACGTAAAATAGAACAATGAAATAAAGACAGTTCTGAGAAAGTATTTATCCTTTCATTTGGCATTTACCTGGTTCGTCCACATCAGTAGAGCCACCATATTCATCCACCTCATCCTTCTTTTCTGGTGTCTTCTTCGGGGTTGCGTGTCTCTCCTGCTTCTGTGGCGTCTGTAGAAACAACATGGACCTGGGGTGTTAAAACTAACAGTTTTTTTAAAAATCCCTTTTATTCTATTTATTGTCTCACTTGAAAAACAAATTGACCTTTGTTTTTATTTCCTCTTCGCTCTGATCGTCCACCTCCATTTCACTCTCCGAGCTAGACTCGGCTCCATCCATCAAATATCTGAAGGAATAAAAGAAACAAAGTGTGTCAGGTTGATAAAAAAGGCCGTAAGGAAAAGAACAGCTGAACAATATATCTTGGTTCCCATCTGCTTTACTTGTTCGACATGATTCAAAGTGTAGTCGGGCCTTGTCAGGTAAGATCGCAACAAAGAAGCTGCAGAGAGAAGGTGATATTTTTAACGAGGATGAATCAGTGGTGCAGTGTTTAAAACGTTACTAGTTTTAAAAAGTCTATAGAACAAAAGGCTAATTGTTCTTTCACAATCATAAGTATTAAATTGTATCTGACAGTGATGAAGAAAGTAGCTGGCACCTATTCAATATCAGTCAAGGACTGACTAGATTATCTCATCTGCCCTCCCCATATATCATCTGAAGCAGCGCACAACAAGTGGAACACCTCCACACAACTATTTAATATTTGCCCCCAAGCCACTATAAAGTCAGATGAAAGTTATATACATTGAAGTGTGACGTATAGAGTTGATATGCCTCAGATATGGGGAGATCATTTTCTTGTACGCACACACTGTAGTCAGACGTTTTACTGACCTAGGCGTAAGACAGGAAATTGGAAAATGAAAAATGAGGTCGTGGACGAAGGCGGTAAAGCAGAAACTGCTGCTTATAACAGCAGGTAGTGCTATCACATAAAAACAAACCAAACGCCTGATCTGTTTTGCTCATTGCGCTCAGGAGAGGAGAAAAAATACAAATAATACAAAACTTGAACATTTTTGTTTCTATATTCCACAAGAGTACAAGATAAAAAACAACTGCTCTAAACTTAACTATTCATGATTTTAACAGCTAAGTTTTAAACCTTTAATTTTATGGCTTCTGTCAATATTTATTTTTTAAATACTCCAGAGGAAAAAGCCACAATTGATTTGGTCCCTATTTGGTCTTGAACTTGTGATCTGAAACTCTGAACTCATATTTTGAAGTCCATGAAGTTGTTTTTAAGTCAGACCGAAAACTCCTCATGCTCCTATTTAGTGACAACTTCTTCATCTCAAGATTGCTCTGCCAGAAAGTTTAATTTAAATTAGAGTCAGTTTTATCAAAAATAGTTTAGGATTTATTCCAAAGAACATTGGAATGTGATATATAATAATAATACATTTCATTTGCATAGCACTTTTCTAAATCCTCAAAGACGCTTGTAAAACGCTATAAGACGTCAACGTTTATAAAAGTTGGCAATTATGATTTTAGTTAGTGAGGTCACAGATGAAATGAAGTGGAACGAAACAAAGTTATTTGTATGAACTTTACGTAAATAAACTCAATAATTCTCAAATATCTTGTGAGCAAGCATTTGGTAACAATAAGGAAAAAGACTGAGTCATCCGACTCAACTATAATACTATAGTTTTCAGAGATAAATACTTTCTGCCCATTTTCATACAGCTTTACAAGTAATGGATAACAGTTTATTGAATAGATTGGAATTTTTCATTTTCACCCCTCCCCCCCCCCAAAAAAGAAGAAAAAAATAATCTGTAGAAGAAATCACATTTTATCACAGAGGATTCTACTACTTTATATTATCTAGACCAGGGGTTCTCAAACTTTTTGGGTTCAGAGACCCCTTACAGGGGAGAAATAGTTCCAGGGACCCCCTTATAACCCTTTTGGCTTGGATGACTAGCTGCGAGAAATCGTTTACCAAAACTGGCCGCATGGGAAGAGCAACTTTTGCCAGCGGCTCATGACAGCGGAGCAGGGTAAAATAATCCTCCATCACCAACGGGTTTCGAAAGGCAGCTGTGTGATGAAGAGGCCAGCACAAGCTCAAGGGCGCAGGAGGAAGATGAAGACAGCAATCAATGACTTCCTAGTAGGCTACTTTAATTTAATTTTTTTTAACCAGCCATGTTACAGGCACTGTTCAGAAGAAAAAAAACATTTACTGTACCTATTTGTGTATGTTACCGGTACATATTTAATTAAAAGTTTTAAAAATTCTTTCTGTGTAAATATGTCACGTTACAATGTGGACACCCGCGGCTTATAGACAAGTGCAGCCTATATATATATACAATTATTTTTCTTTTTAAATCTAGTGGGCGCGACTGACATTCAGGTGCGCTCAACAGTCCAGAAATTACGGTAATTATGATGATGACTTCTACAACAGGAGGTCTTCAGCTAATGCAATTTTAGGTTTTGATCCTAATGTAAGCAGGAATTAGTCGGAAAGCTGAGTTTATATATATATATATATATATATATACATGAGGTTTTATGAGCTGTAGCATTGAGCTCATATTTTCCAAGTCCTCTTCAAATGCTACTGCACAGAACTGTTTTCGTGTTTACTCGTTTAGCTCTATTGTGAGCGGATGTTTCAGAGATGCTTGAGTGTTTTCTGCTCTCCTCAAATCCTGCCTGTCTGGATCCTCACTGACTGGATAATGACTATGTAGAAAGAAACTGCCGGGGTTCTTTAACTGTAATCACAATCTCATTAATACATCCGCTCCGCAGCCTGTGTGCATGTCATGAGCAAAGCTGTGCATTTTACCTCCAGATGCTCAGCGGCAGCAGTTTGAGTGTGAGAGCACAGGTTTGTTCGGGTACTTGTCATCATCAAAGTAAGTGGTTCTTTTAATTACCCATAGCAGATGCAGCTTTTAAATAAAGAATACATCATCAAAGCTGCACACTCCACACATGGCACAATAACGGTGCGAGGCAGGGGGATGGATTATTCTCGCAAAAAGAGGAGGGGTGGACCAGGCCGATTTGGCACAACTGGGAACTGTCGGAGAAAAGCGGACAGCCGGATGGATGACGACGCAGGATGCAGTGAACTCCTCGTTTCAATATTTCTGGAGCCGTGTGCCACTGACCTTTGGCAACATTTGTTTAAATAGCTTTGTTGTCTTCGCAGTGTTCACAGGATACCATGGCTGTCTGAAGAAAACTCATCAAGGTGCTTCTCTGAATGCAGAAAGTCTGGGAAATTATTTTATTTCCTAGAAGCTAAACTGGACACAAACAATATCTGAATTGAAGGTTTATCTACATGGCTACTTAAACTACACTAATTTATTGCATGGCTGTGCCTTTTTTGGATCATGGACCACTTCCTCAGTCGCAAAGTCAAAAGATGATATACCTGTTTGATCCAAATCATGACATAGTTCAAATTTGTTTTATTTAATTAAAAGTTTACTTGTTAAGTCAAAAACTGAACTTCAGCTATAGAAACTGACTCTTTTACAGTTCGAGTCCTCCCACTCTGAAAATATTCTGAACGGTTTTAGTAGCTGATGGGAAAATAATGGAAAGTTGAACAAAAGGCAAAGTCTGGGACTCACACCAGGGTTTAATGCAACAAGACAATGCAGCTTCTTTATATACATGTACATATACATGTACATATACATATACACTGCCTGGCCAAAAAAAAAAAGTTGCCACCAAAAAAAAGGTCACACTAATATTTCGTTGGACTGCCTTTAGCTTTGATTACAGCGTGCATTCTCTGTGACATCGTTTCAATAAGCTTCTGTAATGTCCCAAGATCTATTTCAGGTCTAAATCAAGTCTCTCTTGTAAACGAGTCCTCGAGGCTCAATGGGATTTACCTGTCTAAATAAAGGTTGAATGAATTTCCATCCAGTGTTGCATTAATTTTTCACCAAGATCTTGCATTGATGACTAGACACTAGGCATGATGGGTGCATCACTTCACCTGCCTCTCTTCTTACCCTGATGCGTCCATCCCTCTGGAACAGGGTCAATCTGGACTCATCAGACCACATGGCCTTCTTCCATTGCTCTAGAGTCCAATCTTTATGCTCCCTAGCAAATTGAAGCCTTTTTTTTTCTGGTTATCCTCACTGAATAGTGGTTTTCATAAGGCTACACAGCTGTTCAGTCCCAATCCCTTGAGTTCCCTTCACATTGTGTCTGTGGAAATGCTCTTACTTTCACTATTAAACAGAGCCCTGAGTGTTACTGATGTTTTTCTTTGATTTGATTTCCAAACGTTTAAGTGATCGCCGATCACGATCATTTGGGATTTTTTTCCGACCACATTTCTTCCTTGAAGAAAATGGGTCCCCACTATCCTTCCAGTTTTTAATAATGCATTGGGACAGTTCTTAACCCAGTTATTTTAGTTTCTTCAATCTCCTTAGATTCGGCCAGTGGCCCTCACCCCGATAGTCGCTAAATGCTTCGAAAAACTGGTCATGACTCACATCAAAACAACCATCAACATCAACGAGGACCCTCATCAGTACGCATACCGTGAGAACCGATCAACAGAGGATGCAATCTCCTCTGTGGTCCACACTGCACTCAACCACCTGGAGCAGAAAAACTCTTACGTCCGTATGCTCTTTGTGGACTTCACATCCGCCTTCAACACCATGATCCCCCAAACCCTGATGGACAAACTATCCACACTAGGACTAAGCCCCTCCATCTGCAACTGGGTACTAGACTTTTTAACAAACAGACCACAGTTAGTGAGGATCCACAACCTCTCCTCCTCCACCATAACCCTCAGCACTGGCTCTCCTCAGGGATGTGTGTTGAGCCCCCTCCTGTTTACTCTGCTCACATATGATTGTGCAGCTACCCATCCAGGCTGTCACATTGTAAAGTTTGCAGATGATACAGCGGTGGTGGGATGCATCACAAACAATGATGAGTCCAGCTACAGGCAGGAGGTGGAACACCTGGAGAGCTGGTGCAGAGAGAATAACCTTCACATCAATGTGAAGAAGACAAAGGAGATGATTGTGGACTTCAGAAGGAACAAAAACACCTACACCCCCCTGAACATAAGAGGATCTGCGGTGGAAGTGGTCTCCAGCTACAAGTACTTGGGTGTACACATGAATGACAACCTCAGCTGGAGCAACAACACCACCAGCCTGATCAAGAAAGCTCATCAGAGACTCTACTTCCTCAGACGGCTGAGGCGAGCTGGTCTGGGAAGCTCAGTCCTCACCTCCTTCTACAGGTGTGCAGTGGAGAGCATCCTGTGCTCGAGCATCAATGTGTGGCATGGAGGCTGCACAGCTGCAGAAAGAAAAGCTTTGCAGAGAGTGGTGAAGGCTGCACAGAAATCTGTTGGAGTCAGTCTCCCCACCATCACAGACATCTACACCTCCAGATGCAGGAAGAGGGCCACCTGCATCATGAAGGACCCCACTCACCCAGCACACACACTTTTTGCCCCACTCCCCTCAGGAAGGAGGTTAAGGAGCATTAAGTGTAGAACCACTAGACTGAGGAACAGCTTCTACCCTGAGGCTGTTAGACTCATGAATCTCTAACTAGAATAATCACTGTGAAAAACCATATCATGTTGCTGCTGATCTGTTTCATGTTGCTGCTGATCTGTTTCAATGTTGATGTGTTCATGCGTGCACATCTGCTCACAGACTCATGTTCATGTTTGTGGTGATGTTCAATGTTTTATGTTATGAGTGCTTAGTGTATATTTAGTTGATGTTTTTCTTAGTTCATATCTTAGATGTTATTACTGTTTTTCTTATACATTTTATTGTTGGATGTAACTGGGACCCTGTGTACATAATTTCGCTCCACCACATGTACCACATGAGGTGCGAATGACAATAAAGAAACTCTGACTCTGACTCTGACTCAGATGTTTTCTCTTCTTGATGCCAATGATTTGACCCTCCTCACACAGACTGACGTCTTTTCCACGACCACTTGATGTGTCTTTCAACATGGTTGTTTAAGAAATGAGAAGCAACTCATTGCACCAGTTGGGGTTAAATAACTTGTTGCAGCTGAAAGATAATGGTCCATGCAGTAATTATCCAATAGGAGGCTCGTACCTGTTTGTTTAGTTAAATCCAGGTGGTAACTTTTTTTTGGCCAGGAGTGCATATATAACATTCACACAACTGTTGAGCTACTCGGTGTCTCAGATCAGACAATGAGGAAAAAAAAAAAGATCCAATCAACCACAAAATTGTTTTGTGGAGAAGAACTTGTGAAAACAATTATCTCTATTTCCATTAATTGCCAGGAGCATTCAAGCAGAACTGCACAGCAGAGGGACACAAATTATTCAAGTGTTTGAATGTTGACTTTTTCACACTAGATCTCAGTTACTGTTGCACGAACATGTAAACAAAACAGCAACCGCTGCAGAAGGTGAAAACTGAAGCTACAAACCTGACAGACAATGTCAATCAACCATTTACAAACATCCATCTTTTGACTATGACTGCTCGGACTCAAGTCCATTGCAGGGACGCAGGGACAAACACTACACAAAAGTTTGCGGCTCCAGGATCTTCCTTTTCGTCCACCTGAAGACCCACAAGGACCAAGACAGAGGACAGTCATACGAGCGACTTGACCTTGAGTGACTGCCGATGATATAAGGTGGTGGCCATCTTGGATTTTGACTTGGGAACCCAACGTTTCACAGTGAACTTTCATTTGCCTAGATGCAACTACACACCAAAATGAAAGTCAGTATGCTGCTTATTTTTCCAAGTTATCTACCTCACAAGACGGACTTACAGTATAAGGTGGCAGCCATCTTGGATCTTGACATGACAATTGGGCACTTTTTTGACGTCTAGATGCAGCCACACACCAAAATGGAAGTCCACAACAGCAGAAACAAAGGAGGCGTGAGGAGCTGATGTGGAGTGCTGTCCCTAAAATGTGTTGGGACATCTCAGATTCAACATCTGGCTGCCAGCTGTTCACACAGTGACTGTCAGTCATTTCCTTTTCTTCTATTTCCCACTATCAAGCTACCAAGCCAGCTTATTCTTCATACGACGATCGTTTTCTTTGTCACTTCTGTAATTGGCAGCTCAGGGGCTCCCTTCAAACCCCCATGCTGCCTCGGCCTTTTCATAAGTCACACCAAGATGGCCTGAAAGCATCTTGGGCCCAGTTAGGTGCGATTGTAAGAACGTCATTTACTTTGAATCGGTGCACGTTGTTTGTTAATAATTTTCTCATCAGTCAACTAAAACTTATTTAGATGTAGCTTTTTAGAAAATTGTGTAGAAGTCACCTGATCTCCTTTCATTAAAAAGTTAAAGTCACAATATTGAAGTATTTTATGCAAAAGCTCTTACAGAAAAACAAATAAAAAAAACAGAGCGAGAAAGACAAAACTAGGTAGCAAGGGGCTTCATTACCAGTAAAATACAAGTTTCCTTATTATAATAAGTCACTACTTTACTTGTGTCTCAGTGGGTTAAAGAGCTGAAGTTATCAGGAAAGTAAGACTGAAGCGCATTTGAGCAATTTTTTAATGGATTCTCTGCGGATTAAAATGATGCATAGGCAGCAACTGTGAGCTGTTAACGGACTGATAAAAAGAAAATGGAAATCTTTAAATGTTTCATTATCTGCTTTGAAAAAATCATTACTTTCCTTTTCATTTTGATACCTTTACATGATTTATTTATCAGGTCCTAGGAGAAACAATGGAAGGCCTAAGAATGAGGAAATACCCTAATGATGCGCAAAGCTTTATTCAATCAAACACAGCAATGCCCAAATTAATATGGGCTCGCCAAAGCCTCAAATGAGCTTTCAGAAATACGTTAGTCAGAACGCACAGATTTGTCTGAAATGATAACCCAATACCTTGATGTTAGAAGCCCCGCCCCCACCCCCCTGTAATGAGGCATATAATTAGAGCGCTACAAGAGCTCGGTGGGCTGAATTTGTGATGACAGCAGGGATCATCTGCTCAAGGTTACTGTGTTCTCTGTAGTAAATGGGCAACCCTGCTGTGGTGGGAATATTTTTGGACGTTTCAATCAGCGTGAGTGCCGAGCACAGATTGTACGACGTAGCTTAAAAGAAGGTATGAATCATACATGGAGTCATACTGTATGCACATGTTCTGTGCTAAAACTGCTTAGTGGGGTCCTTTAAAACGACACCAGGTTCAAATCAGCTGTTCATATGTCCCAGCTGAAGTCTCTCTAGAGCCCATGTATCAATCTCAAGACCCGGGAGCCAAATGTGGCCCTCATTGACATCTTGTCTGGCCCCCCAAAGTGATATGTTAAACATAAAGTACTTAAATCACGCAATTTTTTTCTCAGTAATCTTTTATAATGATGTCGAAAGCACAACAGAGAACGTCAAATAAGACCAATCAAACTCTTGCTGAGAACCTGTGACCAAGAAAAGATGTTGTGTGTCTGACTTGAGTTAATGTAGTTTCTGAAATTGGCCCTTAGTTTGAAAAATGTTTTAATTTTGACACCTTTTGTGAGTTTGACACCCCTGGTACAGCTTAACCTCTTTAATTTGACTAACTTTTATTGTTTTCTTACCGTTTATATGAAATCTTCTGTTTCCTCTTATGGCAGTCCATCACCCATTCCTTCCGCACAATGATGCCACCTACTGATTTCACCTGGCTGTACTTGGGAGTGTTGGCAAAGGCACAGCTGGAGATTAACAGGCCGAAACAGATGCACACAAACACAAAAAACCCACATGATTACATCACTACGGGGAAGCTGACAAGGAAAATAGTCTGCACCAACAGCTGAACGCAGGATGCAATCAAACTAAATTACTGCGGGTGCTAACGGAGGCTGTTACACAATCCTATATATATAGTCAATATGAAAAACAACAAATTAAAATAAGTGGGATAGCTATGTAAAAAAATAATAATAATTTTGACTTTAGAATTAAGTAAAGTTGTCATTTTTCACAATGGTTTGCTATAGTTACAATATTTATTGTCTGTATAAGATCACCCAGTGGAAATGTGCTTTAACGGTTCATACAGTAACTAATCAACATTTGCTTTTAGGAAAATTCCTCTAATTTTATCTATATTCTGCAGCTTTTCTGCATTTGTCCCTCATTTATCACTTTGAGCACCATTAAAAGGAAACATCTCTAACCAGCAGCTTCAAGAAAACTGGTAAAAAGGGTTCCCAACAGCTTGATGTGATGGGAAAATATAAACGAGACAATACTGATGTAAGTGCAACCTTGTGACTCCAAAATATGTGTTTTAGCAGATGAACTTGAGAAATAAATTGAAAAAAAAAAAAAGTAAATCTGATGAATAAGACTGTAGTTAGAAATACATATTGTATCTGTAAAGTGTAATAAATGCTTACAGAAGATAACCTTTATTATTAGTCATTGCATGGGGACATGACTTACATAAGGTGTGTGGAGTCAGGCGTCCAGTCAGTTCGATACTTTGCTCCCATCTCCAGTGCCTTGTCCCTCAAGTCCCCTCTGAAGGGGTTCTGGAAGCCGCTGAGGACAAACACCACCCCCTCCATGATCCGGTTAAACGGCACCTCTTGTTCACTTTTGGGGTTTGTTTTCGGTTTAGGTTTATGTTCTGGTTTGGCCCGGCTCTCCTTCTTCTTCTCAGAAGACTTTGGGGCTGATGAAACTGCAGAAATAATTTGGCAATTGAAACATTTTCTCCCCACCAAGAAAAAAAACAAAAGCATTTATTAAAAATCAGACATTACCTTTAGAGGTGCTTGGGCTGGGTGTGCTGACCGGGCTCGGCTTGTGTTTGGGGGTTGTGGCTTTGGTCTCGGGTGATCCAGCAGGACTCGTTTTCTTTGACGGAGGAGGACCAGGGGCAGACTGTCGCTCTTTGCTGAACTCAAACTTTCTTTTGGCTGGTGGCTAAAAGAGAGAAGTATCAACTATGCTTTCCATCTTTGTTTCTTATGCTTGCGTCCATACGTTCTTTCAATTTACAAACTGAACCCTTTGCAGAGATTTTGGAGTCCTGCATTTCCAAAGGCGCTGAGCAGCATAAAGCACATTTTTACTAAAAGACAATTGTCTGACAAAACAATGCTCAGTGGGTGAGGCAATTTCTCCAACAAAAGCAATATCCCATTAATATGCAAAAAGAAAAATGTTTGATTGAACTATCTAAGTCTTAGAATAGTGGGTGAAAAATAAATGCATAGAAAGAAGAGTAGCTGCACTCACTGGTGCACAAACATACTTGTCCAAGTCAGCCAAAAATAACTTTTCCCCTCCAAAAGTTCTGAAAAGATTCAATCCCATGTGTGAGCTGACTCATAATTTCATTATCTAGTTAATTACATTTATATTGTGCATTCAAGTTGAAAGATTGATGCAGACTCCTATGTAATTTCACATCCAACTGTAGTTTTCATCCCCACTGTTGAAGCTACTAATTTTTATAGAAAAATAATCGGAATTGTTCTTGTAATAAAGATCTTTTCCAAACAAATCCATTTATAAAACATTACATTTATAATTTGTGTAAGAAATATGTAAAATTTATTCATGAATAGGTTCAGAAAATTATATTATAACCGGTGAACCATACTGTTAACCAAAAACACAAGGTGTACTCAGTCTGTCGTTGACACTTAACTTTTCCAGGTTTGCACAGAACTTCCTTTAAAAAACATCCGATTTAAGGTTCATCTGCACTGGTTTCCATTTTCTTGCTTGGATGTAAACTGTTTATTATCCGACAACTTTTTAAAATGTCCCTTTAATATTTCGGCAGTGTTCTGTTTACTGTGCGCATTTAATTTCGCACTGAATCTGAAGCAGGGGGACTGTGTAGTGCCAAATGCTATTTAGAAAACGCAGCAGTTCACACTTTTCTCCGTTTTTCATTCAACATGTTTTGCATTTTAAAAGATATCTGATGATTCAGTAATTATGATTTGCTATTCTTAGATTCGGCATTTAACCATATATCATTTTTGTTTGTTTGTATTTTAGTTTATTTTTGTTGTTGTTGAATTTGATTCTATATCAAATAAACATGCTCATACCAAACATGCAATGTAAAACTTAACCAAATAACAGCAAGTACAGTCTTGGCTTCACATTTTCCTCAGCTTTCCTTCTGGTCTAAATAAAGAAAAAGACCCGCCCTCCTTCATGGAACAGGTGGCTGCCCTTCAGAGCAGGAAATGATGGGGTTGTTTAGTACCTGTGGTGAGGCAGAGCTGGAGGTGGAAGCTTGACCTGATGAGTGGGAGCTGCCTCCTGTCTGCAGTGCAGCAGCAGCGTAACTCAACTTGTCACCCTGAGGAGACACTAAAGATAGAGAAGAGCAGCAGACTGTCAGGGAACACAAGAACCACTAATGTTAAATAGTCCCACAATAAAGAATGTCTTTGAAATCACTTGTCCCATGGCACTTTTAAGTAGCTTAAAATAAAACCTAATTAGTTTTTTTACTGTCCAACATCACTACAGCTTTAGCATGACAAAGTGCTGTAATAAAAAGATTGAGCTTTAGCAGCTGATAAATTTAAATAAATGGATTCACCTTTGGGTGAAGTGCTGGACTTGGTTGTGTTGTCTCGACTGAAGAACAGACTGCCAGGCTGAAGGTTTCCAGATGAAGGAGAGTCATCTTTCACCTTGAACTGTCCCAGCTTTGTTAGTTTCTGACAGGAAGGTTCAGTGTTAAAAAGTGAACATTAAGAAACTGAAATATATTTTCCTTTAAGCAGAGAAAGTTTTCAGCATGACAAATGATTTGAAAAGTTGAAAAGCCGACATTGTCAGTGCTGGAAATGAATTTTACCTGATGCAATGTCGCACGAGGGAATGAAGCTGTCTAATAATTTTGCACTGCCTTATACAAAGGTTTTCATCACTTCAAGTTTCCCACTGTCTAAACTTGAAATTTTGCGAACAAATTTCATCAGGTCATCTTATTCTGAAACTAATATTACATATTACATTACTTCTCAGCTTTTGTGTTGGAGACTATATCAGAAAAATTACTGTGTGCCACTTAAATGTAGTCTTTTTGACTTTAGACAGTCAACCCCATGTTTAATAACTTTCATTCATTCAACCTTTATTTATACAGGTTAGTCTCATTGAGCCTCGGGGACTTATTTACAAGAGATACCTGATTTTAACAAAAAATGATGACAACAGTAGATTAAGACAAAAGTAGACAATCATAAAATAAAAACTAACTGAGAAGAACAAATGAAAGAATTTAGTTTAGTATTAAAACTAAACAAAAACAGCTAGACTGTAAAGCGATGTAAAATACTAAACACAGGAATAACAAATGCTGTTTATTCCTCAAGCCTGCTATTTTATTAGAATTAACTATCTGATTATTTAAAAAGACTGGTTACGAACAGCACAATGCATAACTTACAGGGGAGGAAGTTGGAGGCTCGTTTTTGTCAGGTGGTGAATGGAACTTGACAAAGGCAAGCCCATATGCAATGTTCTGTAAAATGCAAAAGACAAAAGAATTGCATCTCACCACTGTGCAGCCCCATATAAATATATAAATACAGGAAAACTGACAAATAGGCTTTAGAAAGATGATCTTTAAACATCTATTGTATTCCACATATAATATAAAATAGATAATGCACATCTGTTTAGATGTAGTTGGTTTTCAATGTAGCTTGGCATGTTGTATGCAGTTATGTAAACTGAATAATGAGCTGTTGCCCATCTGTATAATGTCAGTGCTGTGATCATTTAAAACATACAACGCTCCAACATACACACATGGACTTAAAAGCTGAAATGTCCAATGACTCAAAACACCTGGACCTCACCTTGCTGTAAGGTTGGGTGCACACAATTTTGACCCTGTCCCACTTCTCCTGGGCTGTGCTTTTCTGCAGCTGGTTGAGCCCAAAGAAACGTACTCGGTTCATGTTGGTGCCGTTACGGCTCTCAGTGGGTGACATGAAGGAAGAGGTGACGAGAAGAACCTAAACAAGTATTTTAAGTAAAGCAGATAAACACATGTTACTGAGGGAGAAAGTTAGATAGGATATGAGGAGCATGTTGTGGTTTGAGAAAAAAAAAACCTCAAAGTTCTGGTCTTTAGCAGCTGAAGAGTTCCCCACCAACACCTCAATGAAAGCTGATCCTTCGTTTCCAATATCAATACTGTGCACCTGCTCCTCCTTCTCAAACTAAAGAAGAAAAACAAAAGTAGAAATATGAAGGGAGCTCAAACAAGGGATGAAAAAAGAAACAACCTAAAGTTTATAAAAAGACCAAAACAGTAATTCACTGCTAACTTTTAAACATGCTTATTCAAAGCAAACGCGCTCAGACATGGAAGACAGGAGTATAACCTTTCTGTGTGTAAATTTTAAAAGCTGTGCAAAAATAAAATCCTAAACATTGGAATTTATTAATGTAATATTGCAACCAGCTGATTATTCTTCTCCTTTAGAGATTTGGTTCAAAAATTGCTTATATGCTCAAGGAGATCCAAACAAATTGACAAACAACCATATATCCAACGTTGAACATCTCTAAACTAGTTTGCTGATGACACACAAAAGCATCTACACAGTAAAGTCTTTCAAATGGTCAACTACTCTTTAGGTCTTGTGTCAGTCCTGAACACAATATATTGTTTATGTCAAAGCTTTAAATGATGTATATATTAATATATACACGTATATAATATTAATATATTAAAAATGGGAAACAATATTTACTCATTAATGACTCTAGAGACTTTTAGTGGACAGAAAAGGACAACAGGGAACAAACAGGTTTATGATCTAAGTCAGGGGTGCCCAATACGTTGATCGCGATCTACCGGTCGATCGCAAAGGCATTATGGATAGATCACATGGTATTTAAAAAAAATAGACTTCAGCCTATCATCCATCCTCACAATGAAATTTGTCACTTGATTGACATGCAGGGCATCCAGTCACAGCCATCATTCTCTCAAACCAGGCCTCAGAGTAGTGGAGATTTTCGTTCCCCCCCGGGACTTTTGACTTGGTCATTTTAAAAGTAGCTCGCATGATGACAAAAGTGTGGGCACCCCTGACCTAAGTTAACAGACTTGCATTAATTTAGATATTATTTGTGTTACAAATGCCAAGCTCAATAACAAAAATTTAAAAAAACTGTTTCAGTTTATTCTATTTTTATAGCAACAATCCACAACAAACACTTTAAATGTTAAACGGACTGTACTTGTATAGCGCCTTTCTTTCTTATTAAGATGCTCAAAGCTCTTTACAACACAATTTGTGCCCTCATTTATCTATTCATACAGCACTCTACAAAGAATAGTCAGTGCTTTATCACATCCATACACCAATGGGACACACATCGGAGGCAATGAGGGGTTCAGCGTCTTGCCCAGCGACACTTCGGCACGGTGGAATCGAACCCCCAACTCTTGCATTGGAGGACGACTGCTCCAACCACTCAGCCACAAACAAGTCCATTAAAATCCACTTCTTTTCAATCCAGTCTGATCTCGTTAAACTCAATCTAATCAAGTCAAAGTCAGATTGACAATAAGAGGAGAAACAAACCTGCAGGATGACACATGTCTGCTTCTCACCGGCTCTCGCTGCTTTCCACTTCCTGTACGTGTCTGAGCTCAGCAGGTTGTCTGCTTTGTGAGTCTGCTTTGTTACAACAAAAAGTGGGTTTATGTGACGCCGAAAAATCGCTTAATACTGACTGAATATACACACACACACACACAAAAAAGAGAGAAAACTCACACTGTCCTCGGAGCTGCAGGACACGACATGCTTCACTTTGATTTCTGGCATGTTGTTGACACCCGACAGGTTAAAACTGAATTAATTAGCCTTCAAAAATAAGTCAGCCGGAAGCTTTTACAGGCGGAACAGTACCGTAACAGGCTGATAAAACATAAATAAATAAATAAAAACTCCTAATGCACGTTTAGTGGCACAAAAAAAAATTCTGTCACGAGTCAGTATCGAACAAGCTGTTGACTAACTTGTTAGCATGCTAGCAAACAATAGCAGCTTTAGTTTTTCCTGGACACTTTAACACATTGACATGGCTCATACGCAGCAAACTTTTGAACACATATGTGTGACATAAACCTATCACTTCGTAATTAAAGTAAACTTCTAATTATATATAGTGTGGCTCTTAATTTTACGTTAAATGTGCATTAGAGCGCACTCGTTTTCCCACCAAAAGGCTACAAATGTACACCATGACGTCATTTCCTATTGGCCGCAAGTTTATCCAATGAGAGCCTTTTATTTTTCTTCTTCGCTGGTCTTATTTCTCACAAAAGTTTGAGCGCCACTAAATGGAAGGAGTGTGTACTGAATAAATAAATGTACATTACAGCCCAGTACTTTAAATTAAACTAGCTGATGGCTTAAAAAATGTAAATGTTTTGAAAATAGCAGAAAATATTTGGATTTGGATCATTTGGCCTCAGAATACAGTTTTTTTCTGACATTAATAGTAAAATACTATACATTTATATATATGATTTTCTTGATTCAGCTTAATATTTAGACAAAACAGTAAATATTGTTTTTATTTATTACTGGGATGTATTTTTGAATTTGTTTTTATTTACAGTAATATTGTTCTTAGATAAACCATGAATGTGATAAAAATTATTTAAAAAAAGACAAAGTTGGCCAAAAAGTCTATTTATTATTTCATGTTGATTTTCGCTCTCATTTTTAACACAAATAAAAGCTCTATAAACATATATTTACAGCATGAATGTCTATGAGATTGGTTTGAAACAAACAAACAAATGAGAGAAAGAAAGAAATTAATAAAAGGTGAAAATTGTGGAGAGCTGAAGTCTCAGAACTTCAAAATCACCCCTTTTTAAAGCTTTATGGGATGTTTTAAGGAAAAACAATTAAAACAAAAATAGTGGTGTAAAAATGTTGCAAAAACAAAATCTTCATAAGTTCTGAATGTTGTCCCTCCGAGGAAACTTAAAGCACCAAAGGATCAATAGTACTACAGCTGCATATTTGGTTTAAGTACTGCCATTTTTGTATAATTCTATTCTATTGTGCTGGAATATCTGATTTGTCAGAAAACCTCAAATTAAAAAAAAGTGTTTGCCTTCTCAACATGTTGAGAGTGGAAATGATGAAATATATTTATCATAACTGTCCTTCCCTTGTTAAAAGTAAGCAAATTAAAATGACTCTTTAACACATACAAAATGTTCAGTACAAAAGATTTAGTAAATGTAATGGACACTGGCACAGAGTGTCTCATCAACATGACTGAACTCAACGTTCAGTTGCATTCAGTTTCTGACCCAGAGCTCAGAGGACCTCCAGGTAGATGGCTGTCTCTGGATCAGCAGCAGTTAATTTCTGCACCTCTCTTCTGCCTCTGACGTCCACACCAGCTCCTCGATCAACGTCTCTGTCTCTTCGTCTCTCCCCACCTCTTCGACCCATTGGATGAATCTGAGAACGCGAGACAGACGATACAAATAAAGACGGGGAACTTCCAAAATGTAAGTATTCATGTTACTTTTTCTTTTTTTTTCTCACTCACATCAACCAAACTAATCTAATACCTGCTTAGTATGAACAAAAAGAGGTGTGCTGTTCTGGTATATGAGCTGGTAACTTCCATTGGTGTAAACATGAGTTACTTCGGTGCAGTTAATGTAGAGCGGCATCCTATTCTGGTAAATTCCCACATCTTCAGGGTACACGGCTGGACGTCCTCTAAGAACACGTCTGACAGAAGCAGAACAATAAGGGTGCCAGCATTACTGTATGAGTTTTATTATTTTAATAAAGTGATCATTTAATAGGTATGTTAGCTTGACTTACTTTGTAGCTCTTTTTCTGTAACAGTATACAAGAAGAACAAGGAGGAATATGAGCAAAAAGACGACCACAGCAGGTAAAATGATCCAAAGCAAAAGTGCAGTTTCTGAAAAACACACGAGCAACAAAGAAACAAATATTAATAATGTGAATGTTTATGAAGCATTTACATTATTATGATCCATTTTTTCTTTCGTACGTTTTTTGGCAACTTTCTCGTTTCACAATTTTATTTCAACAAATCATATTTTTTTCATTCAACCTTTATTTAGACAGGTAATCCCATTGAGCCTCGAGGACTCATTTACAAGAGATTACAAGATATATTACAATATGTCAAAACGTTCAGCTCTTTCAGGAGAAGGGTGCTATGAAGTTTGGTGCAACTTTAGCTTCATGAAATATTTAGCCTTTTCTGCCATTTTTTTTCCTCATGAATTGAGCTCATTTTTACATCTTTCAAATCTTTAGATGTGTTTACAATCTTTTACTGCTCCTTTCACTTGTTGTTTTGGTTCAGCTTCTTTCAGCTTCCTTGTGCAAATTTTGTGCTTCTTCTAATTTATTTCTGCTAATTTTAGCTTGTTATGCTCCTTTCAGCTTATTTCTACTATTTAAACTACTATTTAGCTTTTTTATGCTAATTTTAGCCTTTTCTGCTGATTCCATATTTGGTACAACCGTTTTCAGCCTAATTCAGGAAAAATGTACTCTCTCAACTTCGTTCTGGTAATCTAAGTAACTTTCTGCTTTTTTAGCTGCTTTTTGACTGTTGTTTGTTTGTGTGTGTGTGTGCGTGCGTGTGTGTGCTAATTTCAGGTTTTTCAGATAATTTCCACTTTTTATGCTCATTTCTGCTTTTTTCAATGTAATTGGGTAAACATGTTCTTTCTGCTTTCTTTTGCTAATTTAAGCTTGTTCTACCTTCTCAGCCAGAATTTAGCTTTTTTTTTTTAGTTAATTTCAGCTGTTTTCAGAAGTTTTTTGTGGTAATTTCAGCTACTTTCAGCCTAATTGATGCTAATTTCAGCTTATCATGCTCTTTTTAGCTTTTTCTGCTATTTCAGCTACTATTTAGTTGTTTTTATGCTAATACAGTATTTAGCTTTTTCAGCTAATTCCACTTTTTTTTTTTAGTTCATTCCAGTTCTTTCCACATCTTTCTGGTAGCTTAAGCTTCTTTCTGCCTTTTCAGCTTCTTTTCAGCTGTTTATTTATTTATCTGGTAAGTTCAGCTTGTTGAACTAATTTCCTAATTTTTGTGCTAACTGTTGCTTATTTAAACCTAATTCAGCAAATATGTGTTCTTTCTGCTTTCTTCTGCTAACTTGGGCCTGTTCTTCCATTTCAGCTACAACTGAACACGCTTTTAGCTAATTTAAATTGTTTTGCTGAAAATTCTTCAGCAATAAGCATTCGCACTGCATTTTTGCTGCAGAAAATGCAATTTTTCTAGTTTCATGTAAGTTTTAGAACCTATACTAATGATGAGATACAATCTGTAAAATGTTTGTTACCGTAAAAGGCTAAATAAAAACAACAGTGTGATTCTACATCGCATACATGATTTCTTTAGCATTTCCCTATTTATGAGCTGTAGCACATTGTACAGACAGTTCAGCAGCTTTACATCAGCATAAATAAACAAGAGGAGGAGAGTTCCTCATTCTGGTCAGAAGTGAAAGGATTTAGCACACACCGTCTTCTCCCTGCAGCAAAACAAGGGAGCTGTTTCCAAGGGAGTTGAAAGCAAAGCAGATAACCCTCAGCGGTCTGTCCATACGACCCCTCAGAGAGGCCGTTAGCGTGTCAGAGTCTGATGATACAGAGATGTTGTAATCAGGAGGAGGAACAGTCCCGTTAACGCTCCAGGTGATGTTTGCTTTGGGGTTGGAGTCGACCACACAGTGACACAGAACCTCAGAATCCTTCACAGCACAGGCGGAGGAGAGCTGGAGGATGGACGGCTTGTCTACAGGGGAGAAAAGATAGTTCATTTAAAAGATACTTTGTTTTACCACACTGTGTTTACTCTGCATTTCTTTCATCGTCATTTATCATTTATGATCTTTTGAGAAATTTCGTAGAAACTTAAAAGCTTGATCAAACGTGCTGGTGAAGACTGATTCTCTACAAATCATGCTTTTTAGGAAAAACAAGTTGCTTGTTTTTCAAATTTCACTGAAACTTATTAACAGTAAATTAGTTTAGAACTAGGTGTTGTGTTTAAAAATAAATAAAAGTAAATATGGCCTAACCACCCACTATAATACAAGATAAGACTTTCTAGGTATTAAAGAAATTGTTTTTTCCCCAGTTTTCCTGCAGTAAATTAAGCTTGGAAAGCTAATCCAAATATCATCCTGACTTTATTTTCTTTGCTGTTTATTCGTTTTATGAACTGCTCAGCTGGGTTAAAGCTACTGGCAGGTTTTAATCACCATTTAAAGCTACTTTTTATTATTACTGTACAGCAGGGAACATACAACAAACCTTCTTTTTTACTTTGTTTTTGACTCAATCAAGCCGTAATGTGTAGTACTGTATCCTGGATTATATATTCACTAGAGGGTGTTGTAACACAATTTGAACTTTTAGTAAATTCACTTGAGAATTCTGATTACTTCAGTTCCTGAACCTGGTCATTAACCATAATGTGATATTTAAAAAATGTATTCTATATGTTTGTTTAAAATCAGGTTTTGTTGAGCCGACCTGTTATTTATACCAAACTATTTGCAACTTACATTAAGAATAACGAGCAGACTTTACCTGCATCAGCGTCAAAGTAAATTTAAAAATGTGTGCTTTAAAGCAAATACATTTTGCTACTGAAAGTAAGATAGTAAATTATTTTTATGGCTGTTACTTAACAGGACGACACAAAGCAAACTATCAGTATTAAAATAATACAAGAGTGTCTTTATGTGTCCGCTGATTTGAGTGTTAAATTTATATGATCAAAATATAGATAGATTTTTACAACAGTCAGACATATTTGTGAAATACAGCTATAACTACAAATCTGCCAATGAGCCAGTGTTACAACAAATCAACAATAGTTGGTGTTACATTAATCTTTATTTTATC